TTTCGTCCTTTTATCTTCAGGAAAACTGTTGCCGCCGTCGCCGTTTGCCGGTGAATTCCTATTCGCCTGCCTCAGACACAACTGCGATTTATCGCGGGTTTTCCGAAAGCTCCGCGTGGTGCTTTCCCGAGCAGCATTACTTCATGACTGAACCAGAACCTGACGCTGAACATGAACGGGAACCTAGTGCCGCTGCCGTTGGCCCAAACACAATGCGGAAAATACGGAATTCGGCTTTTCGTCGGGAAACTCTGTCGGCCATCGGCTTCACACACAACATGGATGTGTGCAGATAGAGAAATTTCCAGGGAAAATTTACTTAATTAATTGGAGTTTTTCCTCTATGCACTTAAAAATCTATAAAATATGTGAAATAAAATAATACACTACAAATTTATACAAAACTATTTATTTTAAATCTTAGAAGTTACAGAACGCAAAATTCAGTCTAAACTTATCCTGCTACTTTTATGTTCAGTTTTAATACTTCCTTTAAATTAAAAATGTCCTATGAAGGGTAAACTATTTTTCCTACTAACAAAACAATTATTTTGAGTTTCAATTAAAAAAAAAAACATATAAATACATTTATTAAAATCATCAAAATTATTTGTTATAACAATGATATAATTACAAATCCCTTTAAAATGTGCTTTAAAAATACTTTTTATAATCAAAATCTAATTAATCTTTTTCTCTGTGCATATGTATCTGTGTGAGTTCTATGGCAAAGTGTGACTGTGACGGCAACGAAGTGCACGGTATAGATAAAGGACAATGGGATGTGTGTGCGTGTGTGTTGGAGGGGTATCCCCTGACCCAATCCCAAACCCTCCCCCGGCTCGCCACCTTTATCACTTGAACCGGCGGTAGATCGACATTGCTAAGGACGCTGACAACGGTTGGAAGAACAATAATAACATGAATCAACAACAGAAGTGAACCGCAACTAAGAACAACTAAACAAATGCAGGGTGACATTTATAGCCTTAAACTATTGCAACTATTTTAGAGGATTTTAATACCTAAAGGATCAGCCATAGTAATATAATATTCAAATGTTTCAACAATATACTCCAACAAAACACATTTTGGATTAATTAATATATTAATATATTGAAAGTAGTTCATTAATTAAAGTGATGGTAATTCACTTAAGCACATCCTTAATCATGAAGCTTGACTGTAGGACAACAAAATTTATAACGAAAGCACATTCGCTTTCCCTATTGGTGGATGTTCAAGTGACCAAATGTGGGGGGAATCCAGGTGCTTGGGTGGTCATTCCTGTTGCTGCCCGGGCCACCTGACCAGGTGGTTGCGGCCTGATGGTGCCGACGATGTGGCCGCAAAGGCATGCCCATTACCCTTGGCAGGACAAACGGACAAACGGACGCACGGAAGAGAAATTGACGCAGGCCAAAGACACCCAAACAAATCGAATGAATTGGTTGGAATGGGTTAAGTCACCCGGCGCGGCAACTCTCTGTAGACACGCCATGGAACAGTTTGGAGTTTATGTCCGACAGCCTTAAAGGAGGCAATAAAAATTTGCTAAACACAAATATCCTTTTATGAGGAAGAGCCTCTCAAAAAGGCTTACAAGTAACGCCTCGGGTGTCAGTTGAACTGTTGCGATGAATTTTTCATAAGAAAGCACTTTTTTTTTCATTTATTTGAGATGTTTATGACATATATAAGATGTAAATTTATATATAATGCAAAAGATTTCTAGTTAATAGTTAATATAAATTAGCTAAACATTCAACAGGAATTGTATAAGGACCTTCAAAGTTTCCTTACATTCAGGATTTATCCACTGTGCCATTGAAACCCAAACAAATAAAAGGGAAATTAAACCAAAAAGGACGTAACCGAAACACAAAGGATGAGCACGAGCGAAAGAGACAAAATAAAATCTAGAGAGAGAAGAGAGACCCGAAAAAGCTCATCTCTCTCTTTCTCTGTCGCGGCAATAAATATTGAATATATATATTAAGAGAAAGCGAATGCCCGACTTTTGGGGAAAGAGAAAAGCCTGCAGCATCAGCAGACACAATAAAAACGTGGCTGATAATAAAAGCCAAAATAAACAATTCCAGGTAAGAGCAAACACTAGCAGGCAGACAAAGATAGAAAGAGATTGAAGTAGTTTGTGCCTTAAGCAATCAGCCGCAGGTGTTTTTGTGTTTGATTTATCTGCAGTAAGAATATAGAGCATTTTAGGTGGCAACTGGAGATCTTAAATAAATAAAAATACCTGAAAAGTGCATTGAGGTAAATAAAAAAGAAAACAAAAAACGTACCCGAAAGCTAAAACTACTTTGCGGTAACTAAAAATGGACATTAGTGGTAATCAAATACAAAACTTTACATTATTCTGCCATTGTTTATCTTCAAAATAACACTGAAAATATATGCACTATCATAATAGAGAGTTAAAAAATAAATGGTTCACCTCCTAAAAACATCATACAACCCAAAAGAGATTACTCAATCTAGAGATAAGAGCGCCACAGATATGACCCACATTCTTCTTTGTCGCCTCAGGAAATGTTGACCCAAATTGATTGTACCCCTCACAAAAATGACTAAATAAAAACACAACAGTGAAAATTCAAGCTTCCCTAAGTAAACATTTCATTACATAAAAGTAGGCAACAAAAAATGTACCAACAATTAGCAACGCCAACGACGCCAGCGGCAACGTCGACGTCGACGTTCAGCTGACAACAACAAAGACAACGAGCAAAGTGCGGTCGCAATTTACATTTTACACCTTCAAAATCCCCCTAGGGAACCTCACAGAGAGACAGGTGTACACAAGCAGAGCGAGAGAGAGAGAGAGGAACAAAAAGCGAGACGGAGAGAGGCAACATGTGGCGGCTGCCAAGTGGTCGTGAATTTCACATCCCAAGCAACAGGGACGACAGGACACCCAAAAAGGAAACGCAGCCAATGTCATTATTACGAGCACTTCGGGTCGGGTCGAATAGTAGGTCGCCAGTGTACACAGAGAGAATATATTGAAAGATTTTATATTCTATTATATTAAACATAATATTTAAGTCTGCCAGTGAACGTGTCATTAAACTTTAAATAAATGTAATTCAATCAAGTATTCTTTGTACAACTAAAATGTAAATCAAATTTCATTGAATTTTTAAGAGTATTATTTTTGTTTTGTATGTCATAAGAACGACTAAATTGTGTTCAGTGCACTGTGGCAACTCAGTGGGGCTTCCTTTTTTGCGGCTCGTGTGTGTGTTATGTTATATGATTGCGTCAAACATTTCCGCACCAAGTTGTATTTACATATGCCCAAATACACATTTGCACATTTGTATGTTATTTTCCTTGTGGGCCTGCTGCCTTTCTTAAATGTTATTCATGATCGTCGCTTAAGTTTATTGTTGCGGCGGTGTTTGAGTGATTGCAAGGGTATCGACATTATGTCAAGGCTTTAGGTTAAGCAAAGAACATTAGGTTATTTTATGTGGAAATATTAGAAAAATATTAAGTCGAATATGGTTTCTAAGACGTTAAACAACAGATCGTATTTAAAATAGATTGGGCCATTGGTTTGTCTTTGATTTTAAATAATTATTTAAACCAAAAACTCCATTCTCCGATTTTTGAAATTGTTCTTGAAGTCTTGTAATCGTTTGGTATTTCTTTAAAGGCGAGTTCCACAGTGTTCTCGGGTCTGCTTTCTTATTATATATATATGCATATGTATAAATATATTGGGTATAGAGTATAACATTTTGCCAAATTAATTTTGGAGGTGTCGGTGCGGGTTTTATGTGTCTGTGTATTTGTTTATTTTTGGGCCTTTTAGGCCAAAAACCATTGTGCTTCTCTCTCATTTCTATAGGTTTTTCGGTGCCCTCAATTATTATGCCCTTCCATTGCTGCGCTTGCGCTTAGGTCACAAACATTTTATTTAAATTAAAATGTTTAATGGACTGGTCAACGGTGGATAATTTTAAAGTAGGATTCCACAATTATGATCAGGATTTTATATAAATTTAAAGGTTTTTTTCCATTTGGAAATTTGATTTAAAATGATTCATTTCTACGATAAATATATCCTTGGACAATGATGTAAATAATAATTTATATTTCAGTACATACATGAGTAGCGTGTTGCTAATTAAAACAAAATATAAAAATCAATCTATTTCCTAGGATATGTCCTTAGGATGTTGTCTTGACTAAAAAGGTTGTTGAACATGATAAGTAGTTTATTTTCCTAGTTTCCTAACCGAAAATTTATTTTGAAAATATTGTTTCGGCAATAAATCAACTCAAAACTGAAATAAATTGTTACATTTTTGGTGCTTTAAAACATAATGTTAAGTTTTCAAAACGATATGAATGGGCATTTTATACATAAGAATTATTTCGGCAGAAAGTTATTGCCTTCTGCTAGTCACTTACGTATTTTTTCACAAAAATCATCTTTCATTTTAGTATTATAATTTTATTTTAAGTTTTAGATTAAATTTTGTAACAGAATTAGATTTATTTACAAGTTTTTAATTTAAATAGATTAACCTTTTTTAATACTTTTTAAAACGGGTTCTTTTTATTTTGAAACTAGGTTTATTATATTCAAGTTTAATATTTTTTAATAACCACCGAAAGAACACAAATTCCGAAGCAACGCTAAGAAATGCCAGCTCACAACTGATTGATAACATTTTTCTACATCGAAAGTATGAAATAAAACACAAAAAACAAAAAAAAATAGCAACACCGCCAACTTGTTTGGTGCTTGTTGTTGCTGTTGATAGGAAGTTACCGTCAGTCAGTCAGTCACTCAGTTATTGAGTGAGTGAGAGAGCGAGGGAGCATAATTATTGATAAAACAAGACTAATTTCATGCCAAGGGTATTCCATGTTTATGAATGAAGTGGCAATTCCCCCACAAAAGAAAATTGATTTTAAATGGTTGGAAATCAGGAGAAAAAAAGAACAGGAAGGAGAGCACTCACCTCGCGACGTTGGGTGATTCATGAGTATCGATAGCGGGCACTCGTCGTCATCGAGTATGTATTCCGTTCCATCGCTGTTGACCTGCATATGGGAAAATTTATAATTAATTTCAATACTTGAAAGATCATTGATACAGAGTATTGTAGAGAAAATAATTAACATTCCTCTATAATTTTAGATTTCTTTTATAATAAGTTTAATTATGATCATTTTTACAATATCTGAGTGCCAGGTGAACTGCTGAACGATACAAAATTTATACTTTTAAAAAGATCAAATTTAAAGATTTCTGTGATTTTTAATACACTTCTAAAATATTTATATATTAACAGTCGTTCAAGGTTTGACTTTAAACAAGAATTAAACTAAACTTTGAGAAACTTGCAGCAGAAAGAAGATTATCTGGAGAGATTCATCAGATAGTTCTAAGCCTAAAAGACTATTTTACGGAGAAACTGAAGGACGGAATGATAAGTCGACTCGGCTATTGATAAAGTTCAGGAAAATGAATATCTTATCATCTTATATAAGCATAGGAATGACATTTAAATTGTGTTATATGCTTACTTATAATACCATGAAAGGTAATTTTGAATGGTTATAAAAATATCTTAGGATACAAATTTCATAACTGAGCCCTACTCTCAACTACTCTGTATCAACCCATATTATAAATTAACATATTCCCCACCTGAACCAGGCAATAGTGCAGGGGATCGGCCTTCTCCAGTCCATATTTGGTGAGCATTTCCCGCACAACAGCCTGGGCGCAATCCCGGATGGAGAGGAGCAGTGTCTTATAGGGCACATCCTGGCAGAGACTTTCGCCGTAGATCTTCAGTGTACCGCCCGTGTCAGGACCGCCATCTCTGGAACGGAATTGCTGCAGCTTCTTTTCCAGCTTCTGCTGTCGACGCCGTCGCATCACGGCCTCCGGGTTTGAGATCGATCGTGTGAACGAGGTTTCCGGCAGTTCCGTGTATAGTTTGCCAGCTACGGCATCGCTGCCATCGCCTCCACCACCGCCGACATTGCCGTTCATGTGGGCTGACCCTGCGGATCCACTTATGCCATTGCCCAGACCCAACTGGCTGCCATTGGAGGTGGGTGGGTCGGAGCTTAGCTTGGCCATCTTCTCCTTCTTCTTCTGCTCTTTCTTCTCGCGCTTGGAGAGCTTGCGCTTGAAGTTTAGATCTGTTTGCTCGATGGGCTAAGGGGACGAGAAGAATACGTTAGAAGAAATTCATTTACGATTGGCGAGCAATACAAACTCACGGTGGTCTTCTGATCAATGTTCTTCAGCAGGAATCGACCTTCACGATCGTCGATGTGCCAGTTGAGCTGCACCAGCAGCGGTTTTTCGTCGGCATTCAGACGACGCTCCTCGCCATTGGCATGCACCTCGTACAGGGCGTAATTCGGCACGGATAACATCCGCATATCGGGACGGAATTTCTCGATTAGTGTGTCTAGATATAGGGATATAAGGATTAACAATTGATATTGCACATAACTCTTTAGTTACTTACCTATGACATCTGTGACAGTGGCATCGGACGCCACTCTAATACATTTCGTGGCCACTTTCTGGCCAGCATCTTGGAAGTAAAAGCGCATAACGCCATGGAAGAGCAGGTTCTGTGGGAAATATAATATGATTTAATGCATTTCATATGTTCTAGGAAATATAATATGATTTAATGCATTTCATATGTACTTCATGTAGACGGACTCACCTCGTCTGGCTCGGAGAGCGCAAAGAGATCCAATCGATTGGCATTCCATTGCTGTATCACTGAACGAACTGCCTCGCGATCCAACATCTTCTTATCATGTGACATACTGTACAGGTTGTATTGGGGGAGGGAAGGGTCGTCTTCTTCTTCTTAGTTCTGGGACCGTTTACCGTGTTGTGACTCCAGTGTGACGTCGTTTTTGTCTTCGCTTTGTGTGTGGAGGAGGCTTTGACTATCTGTAAACAGACAGGAGGAACATTTGATAAAATTAGATTCTGGGTTTACAACTTCCATGAAAGCATCGTAAATGGAGAGGCGGAATCAGAACCGAAAGCGAAAAGTAAAAAGTTGGCGCAGATGTGGCAAACATTAAATTTCCGTTGCCAAATGTAAACACCGACGGATCATGTTGCGGGGCGAGAGTATAAAGGAAGACATTGTAAATACTCGTCTGTTCACCTACAAACTATGATGAGGAAATCCAAACAAAAGTTTGCTTAATAAATGAATGAATGAATGAATTTTAGGAAACATGCTTTGAATTAATTCTCAGGGGCAGGGCTAAATACAAATTTTAATAGAAACATAATTTCGAAGTGCGCATTCCAGGGGTAACAAAATAAACGAACTCTGTCTTGATTTATGATCGAGAGACAGGAAAACTCTGGGTTTCTCCACCACATGTCATCTACCACAAAAGTATCTGACAATCGACCGTCTTTCGTACGAGCCAATTAAAAGTTCCATTACAAGATCATATCTAACCAGAATTTCCCCCACCGACTTTCGGCGCTCAGCGACCCTAAACAAATAACTTCATCAAAGCAGAAAATTTCAGTGCATTTGTACAAACATAACCTCAAGATGTTATATGCTATCCGGGGCGTGGGTAGAGTAGGTAACGTTCAAAGTTCAGTAAAGCTATTTCAGAGAGAAGAAGTGATGTCAAACAGCGGAACTATGCCTGAACTAACTATTCGGTTCCAACCCTCTTTTTCCTCTCGAGTTCTTTAAACTTTTGCGCTGCTATCTGTTGTGCTGGTATTCTCTTTCCGCGGGGTTCGGTTTTTGTTCCGTCTTGTAAAGGTAGTTTAATAACCGTCAACGGTTCCGCTTCAGGGAACCCGTCGTCTGTGCACTGAAACTTGTCGATTTACAGAGCCGTCGCTCTCTATAAGGAGGGTTCGCGGTGGAGGATGGGTATGGGATGGATGGTAACCGTTTAAGTGAAGCTATTTCCACAATTTCCGCGAGGGCGTGCGTTGTCAGTGGGAATTGCATTTCGAACTTTTGTGTCCTCAAGCAGCAGCTGGAGTCGTATGCATCGAATAACTAACCAGAGGTGTGGTTGAGGAGTTGAGGAGTCCTTGCTGCATTCAGGCGTAACCATTAACAAAGGGTTTGTTTAAGTGTTTGGGTATTTTCGTTTTTGGTTTCCCAATTTGCATTTCAATGGTTGCCAAGGCCGATATTTGTTTTCAGGGTTGATCGGGCTTAAATGGAAAGGGTTGCCTTAATATCGGAATTCAAAGACAATGAACAAGGGAAATGTCATGGAAATATTTTAATAATTGACCACAGACTTTATAGATATCTCTTAAAAAGTTCCTTCAAAATAAACTGTAAATCTTTTCGTTTTAAGACTAAATAAATTTACTGAACTTATACGAAGAATATAAACACAAAATATGGGGTTACGACTAAGAAATTCACATGAATTTTCCCACATTAAATCTCTTATCAAAAGTCTGCCATCGGTAAGCGATTAAAAATTAATTTTATTATCTGGTCACCACTATGATTTTCCCATGCCAAAAGAATGTCAACATGTTTAACAAATTATACAAAATGTTGGAACACACAAGGGAAAACCATTCCGTTTCAACTGATGGACAAAGAAAAATATTTAAATTGCTTCTGCAAAAAGGGAGACGGCATGAACTTCCAGGTAAGCGAACACAAACAGACTCTGTAATTGTTGTACAACATTATTAAAAAGACATAAAGGTGACATTTACACCAACAAAGTGGTGTCGTAATTGCTGCTGCTGCTGCTGCTGATTTGGGCTGAAAAATGCGCCCGAAAAGATCGCGAGAGGCGAGATAATAAAACGAATTAAAAACGAGCCGGAAAACCGCAACAAAAGAAAAGTGTCGCTTGGGAAGAGACACGAAAACATAGAGAAGGCCAAACGAGAAGTACCGCAATAAAAAGGCACATAAGCAAAAACACAAAGCCCATTGAGGAAAAAGAGGTGAATGTACGAAGACAACAAAATACGAAGCACAGAAACAGATACAGATACAGATACATTTGCAGATGCAGATACAAGCACAGATGAGGTCATCAAAATATATATTTTATTTGAAAAAAATTACTTTTTTAACTATATCCTGGATTTTATTAGGTACATTTGATTGTTAATAGTTAATTTTATATGACAATCTTTGAAGATTCGTCTACAGTTTTTATTTCATTTTAAAACCCAATTAAACCAAGTAAGAGATATAGTACTGAAGTACTAAATTCAATGTAAACTTTTGTTATTTGTTACTCTGAGCTGTTGCATGCTGATTTTTTTTTGGCTAGCTACACCTGTAATGTTACACACCTGCGCATCTACAGATACAGATGCAAAAGAGTAACCAACGTTTCTGAGAAGCACCAAACCTCGCAAAGTGGGTCTGGGACATGTAAAATTGTTGCTGGCCTAGGCATAACTAAAAGGTGTTGTCCCCCCCTATCCCTCTCTCTCTCTCCCTCGGTGATGTTTTTATTTTTTGTGCAGCTGTTGCTTTGGCACCTGCAGCAATAGACTTACCTCACCTTGCATCACCCCTTAACCCCCTCCACCTGTAGTTCATGTTTGCAAAACTAGTTGCCGGCTGCAGTTTTTTTCGGAGTGTGTGTGCTTTATTTCAATTCATTTCGGGGTCAGTGGGTTTGTAAAACAAACGGAAACGGCCAGAGGCTGGAAAAAAATAAATATAGGCGATGGGGGAAATAACTAATCTGAAGTTCCTCTGGAGGAAACACCTGAACCGGTATATGCAAAGAGAAATATCAAGATCTACAGTAAGCATCTCTCTCTCTCTCTCTCTCAAATGTTTTATTGGGATGAGATTTCCCCTGGACACCTGGTAAAAATAATAAATTATATAAAGAAGGTCTAAAGTTCCAATAAGTGTACATCAAAATAAGCGCTTACACTTAATAAATCCTTTACCCTATAATTGTATTAATAGCAAAACAATTGATTATGTTTAAAAATCTGTTTTCTCTGTCATCTTAACCAATAAATTTTCACTCTAAGAAAAGTTTTAAAAATAATAGTCTTGTGTACTATCATTTTTCTGTGTTTTGGCGACGCCTAATTGAAAGTCAATAACAAAGTAAATAAGTCAAGAACTACAAAAGCAATATCTTCAATGGGTCGCCTAAGTAAATTAGCAGATGAGAACTAAGACCTCAATAAATGACAAGGCAAAGCTGACAAAAAATAAAAGTATACATAAAAAATAACGAAAAAAAAAAAACAAAAACAATTAGCCATGACACGAACCTGTACACACCTTATTTATTTTTCTGCATTTTTTCTTTCGGTCGATTGCTATTTTAGTTCTTTTACCCGGTTTGCTTTGATCTGCCTTTCTGTGGCTTCCCTTCTGTTTCTGTATTAAACTTAAGCTTGGTTTTTTAAAGACTGTGACACTGTTGCCAGAAACAACTTAAACATATATGTAGCTAAATATACTAATAAATAAATAATAAGACAAATACAAACTGAATTCTCTACCGAAAATTACTTCTATATAAATTTAATGCCATTTAATTGTTGATACATGTTATGCTCAAAAAAATGTTTTCTAACTTAAAATTTCACAAAAGGTGTTTCAATTGTTCTTTATATTTTTATTATTTTAAGGAACATTTAAATATTTAGTATTATAATTATTAATATTAAATATTATGAAATATACCCTTTCCCATTTTTTAACTTCTCCCTGTGATTTCATTTTATAATCCAATTTTACCGTCTCCATTTCTTGTCGCACAATTATTTCTGTCTGAGCTTTTGGTGGTGAAAAGTGCTTTTGATATTTTTATAATTTTCGCTGTTTAGTCATGTAACTGTTGTTGGCACTTTATTGTTTACCTTTTGGCAAAGATTTTGCAGCGGCACGAAAATAAATATGAAAACAATTTTCCCTGGGAGCGAAGAGGAAAACAATAAACCGGCAAACGGCTTCAAAAGGCATACCAACGTGGTTGTTGACTCTTTTTGTGTTTTTTGTTTTCTTTTTGTTATTGTTATTTGTTTAACGCTTTTTTGCGTTTGCCTTTGGGCTGGTTGACCGCCCGAACTGAGCAGGAAGCGAGTGATGAGCCCCAAGAAGTCGCAATATACACACACACAATATGTATGGAACATAAAGATCCAAACATATAGTCACTGTAAATGAGTCAAGCTTGCTTTTTGTATTCTTATTTTTTGCTGCTGCTGGGCCACGCTTAATTGGTTGATGGAATTGGGTTGAGCGCAATTTTTAATGAGCCCTGAATTGTTGCTAGACGACAGGTGAGCGGAGCGGTATAAGGGGCAGGCGGGTTCGAGACTTCTGTGACTCAGCGTAGGTGTAGAGACAGTGGAGAAATGGATCTAAAAGCACATCCAAGAGCCGGAGGAACTTCCAAGCGGAATTACAGATGGCATGACTAATTCATGGGAGTTGTGAAATTAAATTGTGGAATGAATCTGGTTGAATTGGAGCAACAAAACTATGCTATATCTGTCCAATTAATTAATTAACGTAATAAAAGAGCCAAGACTAATGAGAACTAAAAAAAGGAGTTCCAACTTCAGATATATTACATTAGGTTCCCAGTGAACTCTTTTCTCCTTTCTAATTTATAAAAATTTCAGTTCAGTGAAAATTGCTGTCCCTTTAAAAAATATTCTTTAACATCATTGGTTTTTAAGCATTTTAGATATATGGTTCTTCTTTGCTTTTAAAATCATCTACAAACATTTAAAAACGTCTATTTAAACACAAATAGCTTGAATCGGCTTCAGTGAAATACCAAAGCAATCAAGATAAGCACACGTAGATAAGGCAGATCAAGATAAAGTCATAAATATGTATAATCAGTCAACAACCTGTTGGCCGATAAACGAATCCATTGGAAAGAAGAAAAACGTGGGACAAAGCAAAACAAATATTTGGCCCAATATGG